TGCGCGCCCGGCGTCGCGCTCGCCCTGGACGCGTGCGGCTGCTGCAAGATCTGCGCGCGGCAGCTCAACGAGGACTGCAGCCGCGAGCAGCCCTGCGACCACACCAAGGGGCTCGAGTGCAACTTCGGCGCCAGCGCCACGGCGCTCAAGGGCATCTGCAGAGGTGAGGAGCCGGCGCCGCGCTGCCCGCGGGGGTCCCCGCGGCGCCCGGGTTTGGTAATTTCGAGCCCATGTATGGTTATGCTTTGTTGTTGGTAGCTTGGCAGAAAGGCGTGTGACTTCAGCAGTCTGGAATGCAATTCAGTATGTCTGGGCTCCGCTAAAAGCACATAAGGAAAAGTGATTCCTGACTAACTTATTGTTCTGGCCCCGCGTCTCCAGGGGATTGTAGGGAACTTTACCATAAATTGAATTTAACAGACCAGCAAATACGTGCGCTTAAAGGAGCGATTCCCACCTCTAACTCTCCCCTTCCCTCTCTTTGTTAACCTGCAGCGCAGTCCGAGGGGAGACCATGTGAATACAACTCCAAAATCTACCAGAACGGCGAGAGCTTCCAGCCGAACTGCAAGCACCAGTGTACGTGCATAGATGGAGCTGTGGGCTGCATCCCGCTGTGCCCGCAGGAGCTCTCCCTGCCCAACCTGGGCTGCCCCAGCCCCCGGCTGGTCAAAGTGCCCGGGCAGTGCTGCGAGGAGTGGGTCTGCGACGAGAGCAAGGATGCGCTGGACGAGCTCGAAGGCTTCTTCAGCAAAGAGTTTGGTCTGGACGCCTCTGAAGGGGAACTAACCAGGAACAACGAGCTCATTGCCGTTGTGAAAGGAGGCCTGAAAATGCTGCCTGGTGAGTAAAGGCTGAGTGACAGTGACAGCTTAGGCTAGGGGGAGAGAGGCCATGGGGGCTCTTAGACCCCAATGGAAAGAGGGTCCTAGTGAGAGCAAACCTTCAGTCTAAGCCCTCCTCTTCTCTTGCAGTCTTTGGAGCCGAGCCGCAGGGCCGAGCTTTTGAGAACCCCAAGTGCATCGTGCAAACAACCTCCTGGTCCCAGTGCTCGAAGACCTGTGGAACTGGCATCTCCACGAGGGTCACCAATGATAACCCTGACTGTAAGCTCATCAAGGAGACCAGGATATGTGAAGTGAGGCCATGTGGCCAGCCTAGCTACGCCTCTTTAAAGGTAAACATGGGCGCCTCTAGTGCTCCTCTTCTCTAAATTCTCCTTCGTAGAGAGTGAGAGCTGGAATAGTGCCTTGGAAGCATCTCCCACTAATATTATCACTGCTTCTTTACAGAAGGGTAAGAAATGCACCAAGACAAGGAAGTCCCAGACCCCTGTGAAGTTCACTTATGCTGGATGTTCCAGTGTGAAGAAGTATCGCCCCAAGTACTGCGGCTCATGTGTGGATGGAAGATGCTGCACTCCCCAGCAGACCAGGACTGTCAAGATCAGGTTTCGTTGTGATGACGGGGAAACCTTCACCAAGAACGTCATGATGATCCAGTCTTGCAGATGCAACTACAACTGTCCACACGCAAGTGAAGCTTATCCTTACTACAGACTTGTCAATGACATTCACAAATTTAGGGACTAAGTTGCCTTGGGGGTGGGACACTGAACAAAAATTTGAAGTAACCAGCCCTGGAGAAAGGACTTTTATGGTGGAAATGGTGCCTTCCCCAGCTGAGGGCAACATTGAAATGCTCCAAGAGTGCACTGTGCAACTGGACACTATTGCAACAGAGATTTAAGCATACTTAAGGCTTCATACTACTGGAGCGACCTTATTGCTTCTTTTTGGAGCACCTTCTCTTTATATACTGTTTTCTGTTTGTAAGTGATAAACATTTTCTTCTGGTTATGAAAACTTTTTTTTTTTCCTATACTGTTCAACTTAACATTATGCTTTCCTCTTCCCTCTCTCTTCTCCCACCCTTTCCCAACCAAGTTGGAGGTTACATTCCTTCCTGAGGTGGGCACTTGTGGGGTGTTCACAGTGGCAGCTATTATGTACCAACTGTAGTTTAATAGCAAACAGAAATCAGTTGTTTTAAAGCTGAATATTTTATTTATCAAAATGTAGCTTTTGTTTTGTCTGTTTTCTGAGTTTTTTTTCTACCACTCTTCTCCCCTGTAATACTGGAATAAGTTGTAAATGATTTTAATTTTATATTCAATGAATTAAAAATTATTTATGGAATTAATCATTTAATAAAGAAATATTTACCTAACTCTAGTCTCAGTAGACCCTCTTGAAAGATAACAGCTTTAAAACAAAGGCAAGAGCTTTCCAGAAAAGCCTTAAATTGCTCTGGACTCCCCTTCCCTAATGTGTACCACGCTCTACTCCGGGTGCAGCCAGGACTAAGGAGCTGAGGCTGTTTCTTTGGGTAAATGAGGTGCTGAAGTGGTACACTCAGCCTGCAAGCCTCCATAATGTATATCCAGAAAATGCTTCTTGCCTTTGAAAGCCAATGTTTGATAGAGGGACTGAAATGTTAATTAGACTGTCAGATTATCCCAACTGTGCTGGAATTTGCACCATAAGGTACTTCATTAGGATGCAGTACGTGCACAGGGATGTTGAACAGCAGCGTGGAAGTGTTCATCAGCTTGCACATTTTCTGGTGGCTGCTTTTTGCAAATAAATACATTTCTGTGGAAGAAGAATGTTTCCTACAGTCTGCAGGAGGTAGTTGCTTTCACTAAATTCAAATTAAATGAGCTGCAAGCAATGACTCTTGTTAATCCTAATAACCCAGTGATGAAAAGTAAACATACTGTTAACAGGAGAAGAATGTGAAGAATTTCAAGTACTTTTCCAATGGAGAGTAAAGGCAAAGCAGGCAATCTTTTCTTTTTCCTCACCTCCCCTTCCCACTTTTTAAATATGCAGCTACCCTTTATACTGGGGATACAGCATGGACATGGGTGACTTTTAACTAACCAAGGAAGGTGGAGGAGTGAGAGCTGGCATGGAGGGAGATGACATTTTGAAAAACGCTATGGGAGAACTGGAAAACTGCACTGAACACTTGCACTGTGCTGCTTAGTGGAAAACTGCTCTAAAGACAATATTGAAAGGAAAATTGCAAGGGCTTCTCCTCCTCCTTGTAGCCAGTTAGTTCTCTAGCAAAATCTCTCCCCTCTCATCTTTAGCAAGTTGCTCATTTTAAGAAACAGAGACTGATACTGAGGTGCTACTGTCGTAAGAGCTAGACGCATCAGTGGCTGAGATGGCTTTTCATTAGATGAGACATGAGTATTTCAATAACATACATGGCCAAATAGCTCACAAGCTCATCTCTGGCTGCTAATGCTTTGCCCTAAAAATTACAGCCGTCTTTTTCTGCTCAGTCAAGTTCTCCCCCTGAAGGCATTCAAAATTTCATCTGTTTCGGAATTTACCACCTGGCCACCAGTCTTACTGTACCTAAACTCGTCTGTACGATATTTGTTGACAGTAAAAGTGTAAAACGCAGTGAAGCGCTTGTGTCTGGATTCTGCTTAACGCTAGCACTGAACACTCCTTACATCAGCCTCTCCTGGATAGGGCGTCGGGTTTACACGCTGGCTATTGCACGGAGAGAGGAAGAGGAACAACCCCGCGGAGCGGCTGCCCCTTCATTCTTGACCACCTCCTCCTTTAGTCATATTTTAATGACATGTTTAGGTAACACAATTCTCCTACAACCTGTACATGTGCAAAACTGTCTACAGCACGCACACCGTATACAAACCCCAAACGTCCAACTCGTGTCTCAAATGTGGCTCTGGACAGGTCCTAGATTTTATGACCTGTGCTTTGGGCTTTTCATGCTTTGCTGGACAGGGAAGGGGTTCTGCAAAAAATATACCTGATTTGGAGGAGAAAGCATCCAGAAACAGATCATACAGAGTCAAATTTACTAGAATGAATTATCCTGTTATTAAAAGAGAGTAAAGAGATGCCACTAGAACAAATTGCAAATCTTCTAGCATTGGAGTTTCACATCAACTGTCATCAACATAGATTCTTTTCACTTACTGTATTTCACAATTACATAACAAAAAATACCAAGCCCGCAATTCCCGAAATTGTACAGGAAGACAACCTCACCATCTTTGCATTTTCTTCGAAATCTTTATGTCCTCTGCTGCTCCAGTAGGGAAAAAAAAGAAAAAAGAAGAAAAAAAAAAAAGGATCTGTAAGCTGAAACACAGCTTTAAATTTGTTTTTTTTTGCTCCAAAATGATCAAAATCCTTCTTCAAGACAAATACTGAGATCTGCTGACTTAGGCATGAGGAACAGAAATAACGGGTATGAAACGAAGCCGTAAGTTCTCAGCACATGTAAACTCCAGGACAGGGAGCGCTGCAAATCCCGGGCACAGGGCGGGCGGCCCCACGGGGCTGCTCCGCGGCGCTGTGCAGCGTCGCCCTTCGGCAGAGCGCCCGCTCCAGCCAGCTCAGCACCAGCTGGCCCTTCCTATCCCTGTTGCTTTATCAGACTGTTTTTAACTTGCTCCGATTTGTCACGCAACCCCACAAACAGCTGTACTGGTGCAGCTGATGGGGTCACACAAGGATGGAGAAGAGCAGCGCGGGGCAGAGTTTGCTGCAGCTGGTGCTGCCGCCAAAAGGAGCATTTGTCAAACTACAGCTTTGGGACTGAACAAGTATTTATTCTTGATTCAGTATGCTTATTTACAAGTGTCTTCATGGTGTTAATCACTGTAACATAGGGGTTACACATAAAGTCTTCCCTATTAATGAAGGCACTGCAACAAAGACAACACTTTTCTTTCCCTTCACGGTGCATCACAGGAAGCAAAGCAAAGAGGACGCACAAACCAGAATTCAAGGGTTACGCTAAGCCCTCTGTGGTGGGAGCCGATAGCGCTCTCAGGAACGAGCACACACCCTGACGAGGAGCACGTGGAGGAAGAGCCAACGCTGACGAGGAGCACGTGGAGGAAGAGCCAACGCTGACGAGGAGCACGTGGAGGACGAGCCAACGTCTCGCCGACCGTGGGACAGCCGCGCTGCCAACCACCCGCCCGCTGCCCCGTGCGCCCGCCCAGCTCCCCATCGCTCACATGCAGAGCTCAGCATGGGCGGGAGCCTGCACAGACCCACGCGCTGCTCCACCCCAAGCCTCTTGTCATGGCCATTTTCATCTTCATGTACTTTTTTTTCCATGTTACATAGTCATGTAGGAAACAGCACATGGATACGTAGAGGGACCACGGAGAAAACAGTGACACACGAGTGGCTTCGGGTACATTTGGAATGTATTTCAACTCATGAGCAACCAAACTGCACTGAACTGTAGAGAGACTTACTCAGTATCTATAAAATGCAAGTCCTGTAAAAGATTTCAACCAATAAAATGATGAAATAAACATCTGCCTGTTACCCCATAAAGACCAAACACTGATGATTTTATTTTCTTCAGAAAAACTACATATTTATGACTTCTACATAGGCAATTTATATTGGAGAACATCCTGAAAGACCCTGAGGCATCATTCACATATGCGACTTCATCTGCCTTGAAATACAACCACTTAAGGAGTTCAATGCGCAACCATCCAGGAGAAAAGCAACATTGTATAAGCTTTTGTAATCTAGACTTTGTAGCTAGCCTTTACTAGACAGATGAATTTTAAAGATAAGGTGCATAGGTTTGCCTGGAGGGGAATCTGGCCTGGCCAAAGACATTAACAGCTTGACCTCATGATGAGCACAGTCAGAATTTTAACAACAGGTATCAAGGGATTCCACCATCATAAATATCAGATGGGCAGTCCAAAGTGCAGTTCAGTTTTATTTCGAGAACACTGGCTCAGCACCCGACCACAAGACAAGCAGCAGACAGGCTGATTATGAAGTTACCCATTTCCTTGATCATCTTAGACCAGGGTGGACCTAAATTAGCTCATGAAATCTGACAAAATCAGAGATGGCATGGCTGTAAAACCAGGGATTCTACTGAAGAAAATTTAAATTAGGAAAACTTACTCTGCAGAAGCAGGTACTTGTGCTCCAGTAGAATAATCCCATTAAAACTGATATGGATGTGCTCAAAAGCAGCTGAAAGCAGAGGCAGCGAGGAAGGATAATGAAGAGACACGACAGGCAGCTTCCACCCGCTCAGGGGAACCGCCAGCAGAAAGCTCAGCAAATACCATTACCTACGCGCATAAAAAGCAAGAGACAAGAGGAAAACACGGGGGAAGGAGCTTTACACCCTGATGTCAATATGACACAGGAATAAATGGATTGCTCATGAGCAGCTTGGTGACATCCATTTTAATCAAAAGCTTCACTCACAGCTCTCTGTCACACTGCGGTCTCATCTGCATCGGTATCATATTGATGGGAGACTGCTGCAAAACTGCTGTGCAGAGAGCCCTGCTCCTGCTGCGTAAGGATACCCAGGTACCAGGGAGTAATAACCTGAGGGGACAGCTGAGATGCGGGAGAGACCAAAAATGATTCTGCCAAACACACAGTGGAGAAGCTGCTTTGAAGGCATCAGTGTCACTGCTTTAGGTACAGGATGAAGGACGCGCACAGTAATTTGTACAGAGTATGCAGGAGCCTGATATCGCCTCTTCGTCCAGAAGGAAGTCCAGTGCAAAAGGACTAGAGGCATCTGAGGAGGAAGACAACATGTCCAGGCAGTGACTGACAAAGGCAGTCACAAAAAGAAAAAAAAGGGAGGAGGAGGGGAAGAAAATCCCGTTTTTATCATAAATAAGAGGCAGCAGTATGTCCACAGAGACCTCCCCTTGCCCCAGCAGTAAGTGAGGCTCTAGTGGCTTCCCATAGTCCATCGCCGTTGCTGGATTTTTACTGCTGGAAAACCTAGTACGTTAAAGATAGCCTAGGAATGCTTTTCAGCCGGATAACACCAGCGGTAAAGCAGCCAAGCCAGTGGAAATTTGCTTCCAAAATAAAAAACGTTACAACCCATAGAGCCAACATGGGAAAGAACCTCTGAGGATAGAGGTGCCCTTGGAACAAAGTCCCTGTCCGACAGGGCAGCGGGGCCAGGCTGAGACACGGCGGGAGCGCGTTGCTCTTACCAAACCGTGGGGAGACAGGCAGGCAAAAGGCTACTTTATCCTCACGTTTTCCTGGTTTTACATGTCATCCTCATCTCCTCTTTCAGTTTCAGTACTTATTCTCAACTGGTTTTGCTGCCATTTCTTGTTTGTCTTGCACGCATGTGACTTCCTTCCGTTTCACCACAAATTTCCACCAAATAAAACCATATGCACCGTCATAGCAACATCTTAATACAAACACGGGGTAATTTTATTCACTGAAGTACACAGTTCACTTTTTCTTTTTTTCTTGTTAAAAGAACCTGCATCTACATACGGTTTAGCCGAATGCCATAGCAACAACACAAACAAATTCAAGATATTTTTCTCTTTGGAGGAAGGAAGAGTAAACGTTTTTAGGAAAAAAAAAACATTAGGAAGCAGAGTTAAATGTTTGTGACCAGATAGGGCCTGGAGTTGCATCATCGCAGCTCTACACTCACTCGGAAAGGCTGCCCTTGCAAGGTGTTATGCATTCCCAGTTCCTACAGATGTCAACAGAGAACAGCCGGATCTGCGGGGCAAGGTCTGACTCACAGTCGTCCTTGCACAGCACACATAGGTGGGACTTCCTATCAGCACTAGGGTGAACCTACAAGTTTATGCCTCTTATTTTATTCCATTTTTCAGGCTACAGAGGCTGTCCTGCACAGAAATTAGTTTTATGTGTACTACAAAACGCAGCCGTGCTGCGTTGGTGGCATAAGGAAGGTCCCCGGCCCCTCCAGCCGAGCATGCCCCAGACCCGCTCTCAAAACGGCACATCAGCAACTCCCAGTGACAAGATGAGGACGAAACCAAAAACAATCCAGACTTCGGATGCATTCACTCAAAACTTGGCTTTTATCCTGGCCGCACACCAGTTGCCATGACGCTACAATAACCTAAACCTCATAGTCCCAGGAAATTGTACAAAAAAGGAAAAGAACCCCGTTCCCTCACACGACTGACTCAGTCCTACCTCTTAGCTACCGCGAGCCTCTTAGCTCTGCTCTATTTTTGTTCCTTATGGTTTGTAAAGCAGATGACTTCAGCAAGCTTCTCACTTTTTTTAGCAGCACGTTCATTCAGCACAAGGGCCTCTACTCCTTGTTTAAGCTCATGGTCCTTCAACGCAGGCACGTGCTCGGACTGCAAGTTCAGGGCTTGAAACAGGAGAAGGCTGAACACAAATAATTTGTTCTTTCTATGATAAGAACTTTACAGGGAAAAACAAATCAGTAAGCATATTTGTCTTAAATCAAGGCCTTAACGCAACCGGGTATGGAACAATGAAAATTAAAACAACCTTACGCTGTCTTCATTCACACATCCCATCTGTGCTGAACCAAGTCAGAGTCCTGTAGAATATCTCACATGAGATAAAGATTATGATAGTAGCTTTCAAAATGCATAGAACAGAAGTCTTCTAAGCAGCCTCAGCTCCCATGTCCTAAATTTCAAGTGCTGGATCCAGTAATTTAAAATTATGATTTTTTAAGATGCATTTTCTCTACTCAGTTTATTACAAGATGCTCACTCCAGGATAAGTTATTTGGAGTGGAGTTAAAAATTTGTCATAACTGTACACAAAAAAGTGTTAAAACCCAACCACCTAGTCAAAAGGCTCAAAAAATTCTATTTAAATAATGCTTATTATTATTACTAAGAATTGACACTGTTGTGGGACTGGCACTACTCAGCTGTCATCAGTCGGGCTGTGCTTTTAGTCAGTGAGCATGATGCTGGTTTGTTTTTCTAAACAAAAATTGAACAAATTTTGCTAATTCTAACACAAATGCTTGAGTTGTCTCTTAGCTTACACTTGCTTAATAAACCTCTGTTCAAACTAATGTCACTGTTCTCAAAAAAACAAATAAAAATAGTTAACATAGTTAAGTAATAAGCTGTGAATGAGTGACAAATGGTAAATTTTCTTTGGTAGAGGTTTTTTTGGTACATTTTATGACCACTACAGGAATGGTCCTTAATCACTCTTAAGGCCATCTTTAAAGCAGGGGAAGATTTCAATCTGCAGGAGAGGTTTAACAGCATCTTAAAAACAACTCGGGGTTGCGTTTTTCTGACAAGAGAGCTTAAACTGGATTTCCGTAAGAAAAAATGCAGGCAAACCCTTAACAATTAACGAAAACCTCCAGGAATGCAGGAAAGTAATGCAAATGACATCTATTACAAATCTGTACTGCTCAGCCAAAGACTAATCACACACACACGCAGTTCCTACGTTGGTATCTGCAGCACTGATTTGCAGGGTGTGCTAGGAATCCTAAGAACAGGAATACCATGCATTTACTCCAGATGAAACATTTTCTGGCGAATGAACTGTGGCAGGCTTGTTGTTCTGCTCTTCTGTTGGTACGAACATAAACGGATGCAAGAGCGATTTAAAGTAATTTGTGGCTACCCAGTCAGCACAATCACTCATTAGGAAAAGATTCGCTTTCAGGGGATGGAAAAGCTACGAGAGCAGCACCTATAGCTAGGAATCATGGTCCTTTAAGAAGGGTTATATACAAAAAAAAGGAAACAATATGTGGGCAGAAGACTGATAATGATTTAAAAATAAATAAATAAAGGAGCTTGCCGTGCAAGAAGAAAAGCACCTCATCTTACCACAGCTGCACAACATGCAAACACACAGGATATCACAAGGAATATTCATGTGTGACCTGCAACAGCCTGATGCTCTTTTCACAATTCGTTAGCTGGATGTGAACTTTTTACAGACAATCTGACTGCAAAAGTGCAGAAGACTAATGTGCAAAATTCAGAATTCCTCGCCAAGGGGTTTGCCTGGCAGGGTAGCAACAAGCTGGTGCTCAAATGCTACAGCGCAAGGCTGGAAGCCCAAGCACTGCCCCATGTTGCATCTTCACTGCTCTGTGCTCCCTTCCTCTGTAACGTGGGCAGAAGGGACACGCTTACGATTGCCCTGCAGGGCAGTTTAAGGTCACATCAGCAAGCTTTGCACTTCGGTGGCTGCCTCCCGTGCATCCCACGCCCCTCATTTTTGTCACAGAGGTGCTAATCTCAGGCAGGAGACAGGCAGACTGCGGTAGCGAAGATGGCAACAACTTAACCCACAGAGCTGTTTACTAGATGACCGTGTGCTCTGGACTTGACAAACACTGACTTGTGGCTAGACCTTGGATGAACCACAGAAACCCCTGCAAACTGATGCCGAGGCAGCGCGGAGCAGACGGCCCCTGGGGCCCGACGGGCAGCACTCCCTGCCCTCAGGCACGTCCTCTGTCCTCCAGCAGCTCCCACAGACACACGGGACTTGGATTGATGCCGAGGCAGCGCGGAGCAGACGGGCCCCTGGGGCTCGACGGGCAGCGCTCCCTGCCCTCAGGCACTTCCTCTCGTCCTCCGTCCTCCAGCAGCTCCCACGGACACACGGGACTTGGACACAGCAACAGGTAACCTGGGAGCTGAAAACTTTGCCACAGAGGTTAACAGCAGGTTTCTATTGCCAGCAGATGGGATGGTACCCGATTTTTAAAGGTTTATTTGTCATGAATTAGGTAAGAGGGAGTTGATATTATAGTACATATTTGCAATATCTGGCTTGAGCAGGCAAGCTAATAATACGAGGTGCACAACATAAGCTCTGACCCATATAATGAGCATTAGTGAAACTCCACTTCATTTCTGTGTATTCTTCAACTCGTGCAAGCTGGAACATCAGACTAGAGACTAAACGTGCAGCAGATGCCAGCCAGCAGAATGACTAGATGCAGGCCCGTGCTTAACACAGCAAGCAGGATGCAACCCAGCAGGAAGAAACAGCACTGCCCCAAGCACCCAAAATGTCACGACAGGAAAGCAAGGCCATCTGCAGCAGTTCAGCATAAGCACCCTAAAAGAAAATTTGTCTAAGAAAACACAGGATTTTAAAAGAAATCTAAGATTATGACTGACCAATCCACATGTCAATACAAATATTTATCTGAATTTGAATATTTGGTAATAAAACAGAAAAAAAATTAAGAGAAAGGGAAAAATACATTGTTGAAGCTCACCTGGAAGCTTAAATTTGGCTTACCCTGATTTTATCTTAAAAGATACATGGACAAAACTGAACTGTGCAATGCAATAAGAATATCAGATTTACTAGAACCAACAATCGCCATCTCTTTATTTACACATCTAAATATAAGTTACAAAATCCAGAATTGAACAGGCAATTTGGAAGTGCTCTTTTTAGTAAAGCATTCCAAACTGAACCTCAAAGAACTCAGTTACATAAAAAATGGAATTAAATAAAAGAATATGAAAGGCACATCCCACCCTCTTCTCTCAAAGAATTGTCATGAACTCTCCCGAATTTCCCCTTCTTCCTCAGATGAAAGGGATGAACTTTCACTGCTCGAGTCCTCAGCAGATCCACTGTCATCTGAGGGTGTAGGAGACAAACAAAACACAAACAAGCAATTAGTTACAACACTGTTGTTTCCCCTCTTTCTGCTTTGCTCATGAAAGGGAAGCAGCATTCCCTATCTTCTTGCTGTAATCTCAGCTTCCTTGAGGATAACCATTTCATAAGACATGAACCGTTTCGTAACACAGGATGCAGCCCTGTGTAGGATCTTGCAGCTGTAGAGGAAAGCAAGACTATGTTTAGGATTTATTTTTTAAATCTTGGTCTTTCAGTCAAGCAGGATATTTATCCCATACAAAAATCTTCCTCTTCATCCCCTCAGAATTTCAGACGGGTGCCTTGGTTTGTTTTGAAACGTCATTTTCAGGTTGCCACATGCATACATTACAACTGGAGTGAATTATAAATAATTTGCAGTCTTGTTAGCATTTTGCTTAAGACAGGGAACCACTGAAAACTACTAAATGGAAATGAAAACCAAGATGAGGCAGACATGTGCTCCTTTAACATGGTCCAGCATCCCAAAGCTGGTGTTAAGCTGCATGAATCCATGACCTAAGGCTGATGAGGTTAAAGCTTCCCAATAACCTGGGCTTCAGAACAGTCTGTTGTGTTCCCTTGATATCATGTTGTGCGGTGCTCATTTCCCAAAGCAGCCTTCAGCCTCACAGCCTGTGACTCCTGCCCCAACACGCACCGAGCCGTCACCTTGCGGTGAGGTCACCCACATGCCACTGCTCGGTGGCATCGCACACGAGCGATACAGAAATAACCTCCAGCAAAGCAGGCCCGTGCTGCTCGCACTGCTATTCTGAAGTTTGATGTGCCTCTGGACTTAAAGAAGGTTTTGAGCATTTAGTGCCAGATGCCTCACTCAGGAAACACTACCCAATGGGAGCTATGAGGTACTGCTACTGTCTTGTCCAGATAACTCCTACAGCTGGCAAACGTGCGTAGTACATGGGACACAGTGTGCACCTGTACAGTTGCAATGGAATTTGTGCAAGAAAATAGAAGCATTTCACCCAGAAACATCTGAGGTCACATTTTGTCTACATTAAATCCAGTGTATAATCAATTAACATATATATAGGCCAGATATGTACCGAGTAATGCATGGAGTGAGGATTATTTTGGTCCCTAAATCTTGTAAAAACTTCTATAATCCCCTACTGACTTCAGCCATGACTGACCTCGCATGCTGAAAGCGGAGCACCTGTAGTTTTTGCTTTCAGCAAGTCAAGCATAGAGACATCACATAAAAGAATCTGGTTATCTTCTGATTCACAGAGAAGCTCAACAGACAAATTTTAGCTTTAGTTTAGTCTACTATAGTAAGTTTTATTTAACAGGAATTACAGATTGTCCTCTCTCAAAAAGAGTATTTTTCATGGGTTTGACATCATAGAAATGTCTGCAGTTTACTCCTCACATAAAATTTAAACACTGAGTTCAATTCTTCAGTGCCAGCTATTTTCCTCAATCAGAGATTTTTCTGTTGAATGTTTCAGTCAAGATGCTTCAGCCATTTCTGAGGACAAGGACAGGAGAAGGAGGCCTTGTCTTCCCTAAGTTCTAGCACAGCCTCTTCGATGGGGCCCAGCTCCAGCTCCCCTTCACCTTCGGGGGCAATAACTTGAAATACAGGAGTAATGGTCATCCTTCCCAAGCTGCTGGTGCTACAAAAACTAGCCTCACATTAGCGAGCTCCTTCCTGGGGAAGAGGTAGATCTGAGATCACTGTGTAAAGAAACAGCATTTTAGCAGTTAACACTAGTTTTTGTCTGCGCTATGCATGCTCTGGCCTGGGTACAGGCTGCACTTGCCTGAGCACCCAAAGCCCTCCTGGCGTGTGCCAGGAAGGAAGGAAGGGAAAGGAAGTGCAATATTGGCAGAGGGTCCCCCTGCCCCGGAGCAGGATGGCTTAGGAGGAAGCACAGGATGGGTAGAGCTGGCGAAGAGCCTGGATGGCAAAAACACAAGGTGCTGGGGCAGAAAAGGCAGTGCCTGGGAGGTGGAGGTGGGCTCACCAACCTCTCTGGTGACAACATACTTCTCCCTGGAGAGCCTCAGCAAGTGACAATGAAACAGCTCACGAAGCAGCTAACCAAATATTGCTCTTTCTCCTTTATTCCAGGGGCGATACTCAAGAGAAGCTGTTTTTTTCCTTCCTCAATTTTACTTCCAAAATTGCTGTCTCTGAGTGACAGCGTAGCCACTCAGTGAAGGTAGTTTTCTCTACCTTATAGAAAATATTAACGAAGGAAGGAAGGAGCAGATTTTAATGCTGAACATTGAACAAAGTATTTCATCCCTTCACAAGGGCATAAATGAATGTTGTAGTGTGAACAGGCACAAAAGAGCACTTTGGACAGCAGGAGGTCTGGCTGAATCAATACTTACTGTGTAAGACTAACCTTGTTAATCTTCTCTACTACATAAGTATTCCCATTTTGCATTTAAATATGCTGTAAATATTTAAATAAACACAATATCCGCTATAAACACAATGTCTCCAGCTATTTGTATACATAATTGCAAGTGAAACTATTTTAAATGTTTTCTTTCAGTTTAAATGTTTTCTTCACTTTGCACCCAACCAATAAATGACTGGATACAGATCTTTAAAAGATACTCTAATTTTAAGCAGGTTTCACCCTCCCTCTCTAAATGAGGGTATTTCTCTTTCCTCTCCTCAGTTACTGCAGCAGGCTTACATCCATGCTAACAGAAAAGGCTCCAAGAAAAAGAATGCAAACCAAATTCAAGGCTGAAGCAAATGCTAATAGGTCAACTCAAAAGATGCACAAAAATGACATGATTTTCACAGCTTTAATCATAACTATTTTTCTTCCCTAATTACAATCTTTCGCTACACTATATTCCATACCCCTCAACAAGGAACTATGCTCTTGATTGTTATGAGATCGATAGAAACAGCTGCAAAAAAAAAAAATCCAGAAAATGAATGGGCCTCTGAACCCGCAATAGCTGCCAGCGTTCCCCGAATAGCAGCTCCAGGGATGGCTGCTGATCCGGCTGCGGAGGAAGGCGCTGCCCCGAAGGCCAGCACGGCCCTGCTCTGCTGGAGCTGCTGGCAGTGGTGGCCCCGAGGAGCTCCCCTCCTCACGTTCCTGCCCAGCCTCCTCCTGGGACCCGCTAGGCACGGCCGGAGCAGAAATACAAAACAGAGGCGTTCAGTCAACACCTAGCTGAATCTCTACCCCTAAAAGGACAACGGTCCTGCCAGCTCAGACGACATTAGTGACAGTCACCCTCTTCAGATCGAGTTTATGAGTCAATCAATTGCAATTCCCTTCCGGCACGTAAGCCACAAGGGAAAGGCACACCAGTTAGGAGCAAATAATGGAAAAATTGAAGGTATCTAGTATCCTTGTTCTCCAGTAAAACTATGTGCATGCCTTGTGTGAATATAGCAGTGGTACAGTATTCTGAGGATCATATTTTTCAGATTAACTAAATAGAGGGCCATGATTCAGTTTTTGTAAGGAAAATTTCCACTGAAAAAATTGCTCAAATCTTCCCAGAAGTGTTTAAGAATCAGACTTGCCCATCCCTGGAAATGATGGGATGAACAACTACAACGACTAGTTAAACCGCTCCTTCTAGCAGCAGCTGTGAAATGCTAAGCTGGGACATGAAGCCTTTAAGATGGGGAAAAGGATGGAAATGAACTCCAAAAATAAAATATAAATCAAATCCCTACAAGACTCACTACGACTTTTTCTCACCATAGAGTACTTTTCAAAGACCAGGTACTGCTTTTTACCCAACTATCAAGCCCCTTCACCACTATGGTTCCTAATGGCTAGTGTGTATTCAAAACCACTTGTCCAATGCTAAGAGTTCTGCTAGAAATCATGGAAAATCATTCCCTTTTATGATCAGGAGGCTTATTATAAGTGACCTTCCCCAGACAGCTTGACTTTTCTGAAATGACCAGCTCTGTCAAACTTTATTCAGGATTTAGCACAATATCAAGAGGTATTTTACTGTGATGGCTGAAACTATACAAAAATGGACCAATCACCTCTTAACAAATTTGGGACAAACACATACAATACAGCTTGTGTTCAAAAGCCATCAACCAGTTGATTTAAGACAGAGCATTCATAACAGTGTTTTTACAGTGATCTTTTATATTCAGAGGAAAATACAAGACACACTGTACATTCCCTGCATTAATAATGGGTGTATCCTTAATTATTGTTTATTCAACTAAAATATCTAAGTATAGCATAACAGGAAATAAATATATGCTTACCTTGGCCAAGAACCACCATGTCATTCTTCAGTGTTTTCAAGACCACAAATAGAGTTGGGTACTCAATTATTACTTTGTCTTTCAAATTGTCTAGCAGGCTTTTACTGGCATCCAGTTCATGGTACCTTAAAAACAACAGGAAATAAATTTTAGATTTTAATACTACCAAGGACAAAAAGACTTTTTTAACCCTCAACTTTTGAGCCTAGGAATATGAGAAAGAGAATGAAATTCCCATTTTCCTGTGGACTGAAAGATTTAAAGAATTCATAATGGATATTTTTACCAAAATCAGATATGGATATCAAAATGCCTATACATTTCCATATTTTCCATAGGGCCTCCTCCTTCTCTGATCATTTAGATGTTATGTAGTTGGGTTTTCTTTTTTCTGTTTATGAAAATTGGATTCTAAAGGCATGTAAGACTCAAAGTTCTACTTGTTTTTTCCAACCAGTCACCCTTAGTATATACTAATACACGTGTTTGTAGTTTCTCGCACTTAAGAGCTTTAATACTATGGGTTCAATTTACAAGGTTTGCCATGTTATCTTAGTTTATCATGTTTGCTTATGAATTATCAATGATTTATTGAAAAGTCAAAATAAAAAGCATAGCTAAATGACTATCAAAACAAACATACTAGAAACACTTAGAGCACTGTTTGCGCAGGAGTAATGGCCTGGATAGAACTCTCATCCCTATTAAGGCAGTCGTTTCTAAAAGATGGTACGAGATTCCTGTTTATGCCTAAGCAAATCTCTGCTCCCAGCATCATCTGCAAACAATTCTCTGTAGAAAACCCCACATATTTGTGTGTACTACAGGAGGCCCTGGACTTGGATGAGCAGCGCTTTCCCATATAAGGGCTCCTCTCCACCCCAGAGGGTGAAGCCAGTTATGTAACAAATTATGCCACAGCAATAAAAACCAAACCGAGTATATTCTCCACAATTATATCCTATAACATAATGCTCTCTCCCAACTCCCTACCCAAAATCCTGGGGGTAGGCTTTTGGAGAAAGGATCCTTCCTTTCGATGCCCTGTAAAAGAGGACCCTATTGCTTTCACTTGATATACTTCCAGCATCCAAAAAATGCTCTGATATTATTATACTGCCATCTCAGTTATGTGATTCTTTCTGTAATCAGGATTATTAAATTACTCAACTACTGCATTGAGTTATAAGCACATGAAGTTCAAAAATAAAACACACTCCGGGTAACAATTGAAGTATTTCCCATAGCTGCTCTTCCTTCTCTGGGCATTTGCATGTTATGCAGCTGGGCTTTCTTTGGTCAAAAATACCCTGGGCGGGTGAAGGAAATTACTTACTTTATGATTTACAGGAATGTGTAATTAATAACAGTACATGAGAGGAATTAGTGGACAAGAAGAATATTGAAGGTAAAATAAGATTGGAGTTCTTGGGATTTAAGGAAAATTTAGTTTGAGCAAAAACTATTTCACTCTCATATTCAAACTTTAATCATCATGAAAATATTTGGTTTCATGTTTCTCTCAACCCAAAGTAATTATGACCTGTTCTTACTGAAACCCTTTAAAAGGGATAACAGTATATTACATTTCTTATTGAATGAATGCATTCATAAATTGCAGATTAACACACATGAGCAGAAACATATTTACTGCTTTATTTACAGTACTCTAAATGCAAAGTATGGCAATACCTTTCCTTTGGCAAAGGCCTCGACACATTCTTTTCTGGTTAAGCAAACATTTACCACCAAGAGGCTAAAGTAATTCACATGCCACAATACACTTTCCATTATCTCATGTTTTAGACAAAACATCTTTAGCGTCCAGCTTGGCATAAGATAAAACATTTGAACTAAAACTATTTTATGATAGTAAATTACTGACATGTTAGATCACCGAGTCACAGCTTTATCTTTTCTGGTTTTTAAGTATATTTTATTGGTTGACAGTGACAGAGGAAACATCCAAAGTTTTAGTGCATAATCTGGGCTATAAACTTCAGGGAGAATACAACAATGAAGCTTAATCCTTCTCCTTTAAACTTCCCTGTTATTGCCTACTCTATCCATACCCTCCACGTCATATGGAAGTGCAACTCAAGGTTTTCTGCTAATCCACCTGCCACCCTCTTCCTTGACTACACATCCTTAAAAGATCTCAATGGAAAACCAAAACTTGTCCCTCAAATCCAAGCACAGATATAGGATGGCTCCTGAAGAAGGCTCAGTTTTTCAGACTCTCTCCAAAAGGTCTCGTCCTGATAAAACCTTCCAGCTTTTCTCCCAGAAGTAGATCAAAGTCCTATAGCGGGAAGCTAACAGCACGGGCCTCTGGCCAGAAGATGACTGGCCCGCAAGGCTTTTCCAGAACCCTCATTTCACACCCAAGTTCATTTTTCACTTATGAAAGCTTCTTGCCATTTTGGAGAAAAGCTGAAGAGAATGAATCTGAAAAATGACACGAAATAGATTTTTACGAGCCTCCTGACTGCCTGAACTGACCACGCACGACGATGGTCTGAGCAACTGCGGGGGCTGGAGACGCCGCAGGTCCTGCTCCAGAGCACGAGCGCCAAGCGCGAGCGCCGGCAGGGAAGGGGCCTCGCGGCAGGCAGGCGCCCCCAGGGTGGGGAAGCAGTACCACACCACGAGGAGATGTTCTTCTACCACCAGTTTCACCTGCTGGCCCTGCAGCGCTGCCAGGCTGCTCAGCAAGAGCCCATGTTGGGCTGCAGCCCTGCCCAGGCCTTTCCTTGGGTGCACAGTCCTGCCCCAGGGGTCAGTTAGGAACGAGTGACAACCAACACGAGTCTGTCCTTCCGCTCTGTGACCCGCCTGCACCCCAGCGCCTGTCACAAGCACCCACTTAAAACAGACAAGCTTCTTCGGCCCTTTAAGATAAAATGGATTCAGAGATCAGACTGGTTTGGGCCCCTGAAATGAGCGGACCACAGTCCCAAAACTTCTCCCTTACTGCCCAAGACCACATGTTCCTTCAACCCTCCCACAGCTGCCTGTCACTGACCACGCGTGTTGGCCAGGACAGGCACCTTGCAGCCCAGATACATGTGATATAGCACATTCCTGGACTGCGAATCTGCAAAGAAACAAGTAACACATGCACTCTGCCCCAGCCTTTTTCTAAAATAACTCATAATTAAAGTATTCACATTCTGGTACCTAAAGCACTTTCTCCCCATCTTGCTTCCAATGGCTTCCCAACCACCACGGCCAGCAGGACTTCTCCTTGTCCCTTCCCTGCAATGGCCTGCCTGCCCTGCTACTTCCCACATATTTTCTCAGTCCCTTCCATACCTTCCCTCAGCCTCCCTTTCTACACCGCCTTTAAAATACCTCCCCGATTAATTTCTCCCCCCAAGCAATGTCCCAGAAAAATAGGGCCTGGATCTTGTCTTAGTCAGAAGATTCCATTTATAAGGACCACAAAGAGACAATCTTGGCAGGCAACAGCTTTTGATTTCGGCTGGGGTGAAATAACAATAACTGCTTTTTAAAGGACAAAAATCAAGCAGAATTCTGACTGCCAGCAGGCAGTTTAAAAACCTAGCAAAATTGTGACAATTGAGAAATTTTAACAAGATTCAGCAATCCCACATGTTTTCTATATAATCTTTTACAAATACATATTCGCTACCAATCACCTCTTTACCTTCTACAAAATGCTGGATTTGTCTCTGCATTTTTGAAAGCATTTGAGCAAAGGATAGGTTCAGTATCTATAGTTATTCCATTACCTTCCAGGAATTCAAAATTTCAGCCTGCTAATCTGTCTCCCACAGACAGGAATGCTATATTAGGTCACCGCATGACAACAAGCTCCCCAAATGGAGCCTATGGCTATCATCTTGGTGGCGTAACTTGTCTCCATGAATTCAGACAGCAGGAAATTCCCTGCTAAGAGCAGGTTTTCCTGCATGTCATCTACAGGAACTATGATTTTAATAGTAAAAAAAAACCCTTGCAATCTGGAATTAAAGATAAATTGCAAACATGTTACATATCTTCAGTTTGATCTTTTAGTCACTGAAAAGAAAGCAAACAAGTTTTAATCATCTAAGTCACTGCATGTATTATTAAAATTCATATGTTTGTATAATAATGTTCAAAAATTTCCAGTGACAGCTCTTTTTCATATTTTAAAACAAAGATTTTTTTTTTCTTCCTAGAACCAAAGGGAAACATTAAGGTATTTTTTGGCATAATTCAGATAAAATAGAACATAGGACTTCAGGAATCTATTTCAGGCCTAATGCTAAAAATTCATTACCAAACTCCCAGTAACTTATAGGAAGAAAAAGGATTGTTTTATTTTTCCAGCAAAGGAGGGTAGCCTTTTCTAGGTATCTCAGTTTGCCTAGAAGAGAGCAAAAGATGGGATACGACGTTTGCAGTCTCTTCCATGCTGAAATGCTGTAGCACAGCAAGGATAATAACTAACAGATGGACTTTCATTCCTAAGTGGTGAATAATCTCTTCGTGTGGTTATGATTTGGTGAACATGGAAGTAGTGAAATGCACTTTTGAATTACACATGAAAATTATATTTCAGAAAATGAACAGTATGTATTGCACATACATCATGATGCATAATTCTTCTGTTCAACATTTTTTGACTTTTTAAAAAATTTGGAACAGTGAATTTTGTTAGTCCATATATGGGAGAATTATAAAATGAGCAAAAAAGGAGGGGGAGAGGGTGGTAATTATTTGCCATAAAATTTCCTTTTCAGTGCAATCCTTAACAACTGTTCAACAGTTAGAAAGTCTCTAATTTGGTTGAATATTCTTTTAAGGAAAGAAAGAGGGGGATCAACTAAGTTCAAATTAGTATTCTAATCTGAAAAGAATTAGAGTGCGATTCATAAGCATTTTTACAACCTGGTAGCTCCTCTTTATACTCCACGGTGACTCTCCTGGACTCAAACGCTCCGAGCTTGCAGCATCAAACACCCACTGACTTCTTCCATACTGTCAAAAATTGCACAGTTTGGCCTATGCCAATACAGAGCAGCTTCTTGAAAAATCCCTTTTCAATCAGATCCTTGTCTTCATCAACACCTTCATTACAGCATGAGAAGAAGTGTTCATTAAAAAAAAAAAAATT